TAGTATTATGGTAAATGTTCAGGGTCCGCTTATGAATGAGAACAGTTAGTACTCTGTTCTTTGTTTCTGTAATAGATCACTGAGTATGATATACTCTAAATCCATCCAAGTTGCTGCAAAGTTCATATGTTTTTCCTTCTTTATGGCTGCAGATTGCTGGGTCATATGGAAGGTCAATGTCTAGTTCTTTTGGAAATCGCTACACTATTTTCCGAAGAGGTCGCCCTAGTTTGCGTCCCCGCCAGCAGTGTAGAAATGTTCCTTTTTCTCTGCATCCTTGTCAGCATCTGTTGTTTGCTTTATTAATGATGGCCATTCTTTCTGGGGTTAGGTGGTATCTCAATGTGGTTTTGATTTGCATTTCTCTGATGATTAGTGAGCATGAACACTTTTTCATGTGTCTTTTGGCTGCCCATATATCTTCTTTTGAGAAGTGTCTATTCATGTCTTTTGCCCATTTTTTTTTTTTTCGAGTTGGAATCTCACTCGGTCACCCAGACTGGAGCGCGGTGGCCGCTTCCGGCCACCGCAGCCTCTCCTGCTGGGCTCCGGCAATCCTTCCGCCTCAGTCTTCCGAGTAGCCGGAATTACAGGCATGCGCTACCACACCCGGCTGATTTTTTGATTTATTGTAGAGATGAGGTCTTGCTGCCCAGGCGGGTCTCGAACCCGCGGGCTCAGGCAATCCACTCACCTCAGCCTGCCAAAGGTGCGGGATTACAGGCTGAGCCACTGAGCCCGGCTGCCCATTTTTTAATGGGGCTGTTTGTGTTTTCTCTTTTGGCACGTTTGAGTTCCTTGTGAATCCTGAATGTTAGGGCTTTGTCAGATATGTAGTTGGCAAATATTTCTTCCCATTCTGTGGGCTGTCTCCCACTCTCTTGATGGTTTCTTTTGCTTTGCAGAAGCTTTTCGGTTTGATGAGGTCCTACTTGTCTATCTTATCTCTTACGACATGAGCACTTGGGGTTTTGATCAGGAATTGGTTACGAGTCCCAATTTCCATAAGGGTGTCTCCTGTATTTTCTAAGGTTCTTATAGTTTGAGATTTTGTGTTTAGGTCTTTGATCCATTTAAAGTTGATTTTTGTGTATGGTGATAAGTAGGGGTCCTGTTTCAATTCTTCTGCATGTGGTCACTCAGTTTTCCCAGCACCATTTACTGAATAGGTTCTCTCCTTCCTACTGGTGGATGTTGTTGGGGGCTTTGTTGAAGATGAGTTGGTTGAGAAATTGAGGTTTTGCTTCTTGAATCTCTATCCTGTTCCATTGGTTCATATGCCTATTCTTGTACCAATACAAGGCTGTTTTGATTATTGTAGCCCTGTAGTAAAGTTTAAAGTCTGGAAGTGTGATGCCTCCTGCTTTGTTTCTTTTGCTGAGGATTGTTTTGGCTATTTGTGTTTGTTTATGTTTCCATATGAATTTCTGTATTGTCATTTCCAGGTCTGAGAAGAATGATGTTGGTAATTTCATGGGTATTGCCTTTTTTAAAAAAAATGTGTATTCCTCAAGATCCCAAAACATTCCCAGCACATTTCTTAAGGCCTTGGAAATACAATTGTATCAATATTAAAACCAACAGTAGGTTTTTAGCATTTACTTCTGAGTCAAGAGTTCAAGCTCATGTTCTTTCCTTTAGCAGTTTAGTTTTCTCTAAGTCTAGAGATAGCATCTCTAGGAGGAATATGACAAATATTTTTCTAAATCAAGCGAAAGTTAGAGAAGTATAAATAAGACATTACCTTCTAATACAGATCAATCATCCTTTATTATCTGACAAAAAGAGAAAAGGGAAGTCTGTTTACCACTTCTCCAAGAAGAGGTGGCATAACTCAACCTATTGCAAACCACATAGGGCAGAGTAGCTGCCTATTGCTAAGAACAACATGTACTTGTGAGAAGCTAGTTCTTCCTTTTCTCACTCGTTTGATTCTAGACTACTGGAGTACAATAAGGAAACCATGAAAACTCATTCTTTCAGAGCAACTTCCTGGGAATTGCACCGCAAGTTAAGCAAATTCTACTGCACCTATACTTTGAATATTAAGGTAGACTCAGATCTCAGCATTGATAAGTCTTTAAAAGTGTTATCTAGCAATAGATGACAGAGATGAAACTGAGCTAAGTCAAAGGGGGTGACAGGCAGTCCAAGTCATAGGTAAGTCTTAATATAGAATGGACTTGTTTTCATTCCATGAATTTTTATCAATTGGTGCCACTTATTAATGCCACCAATGTATTAAACTTTAAAGACATAAAACGTTTTCCCCTTTGCCTTCTGAATGAAAGTCTGCTGAATTTAATTTTTATCGATCTCAGCTTCACAAAAAAATATGATGTGAAAATTCTAAAGGTATATCTTTTTCTCAGTGCTACCTGTTGTTTATTGGACGATGATACATTCCTACATCATCAAATTTTTACTTTGACACTGTAAAGTCAACGATGATAGTTGGTCAACAATATCCTCCTCTTTGTAAAGAAGTGATACCCCTTCAAGAGCACAGCCAAGAAAGTGAGACTCAAGATAGCCAGATTTTTAAATGTGGTTTTGTGGAAAAAACAAAATACATGTAAGTATTCATGGACTGTGTGAAGGTTGGGTGTTTATTTTTATTTCTCCCTTGTTTCAGTAGTTTTATTCTACTGTAATTCCATTAGCCCATATCACAGTAAAAAATCATTCAGGCTCTTTGTCCTCTGCTTATTTTGACTGACACGCAGATGACAGAAGAATAAAATAAACCACCATTCTCAAAGTATCACTAACAAGTTTATAACCATATTTATTCATTCATCTATATATTATCTACCTGCCTGCTATCTGTCAATCATATTTCTATCAGGATATCTAAATATTTATCTCTATACTTATAAAATAAAATGAGGGATATACAAAGCAACAAAATGTATTGCGGTGAGAAGCATACAGTATAAAGAGTAAATTCACAGTACAGTGAAATGTAATTTATGCTGAATATACTCTCTCTATATTTGACTTAAAACAATTACCTTAGTCCATGCACATTATTTTGTTACCCAAAAACTACGATTATCACCAACCAGAGAACAATGAATTATTGAAATCATGTAAGTGAATTTTCTACTGTAATTCATAAGATATTTTAAGCCCTTAACTTTGCTGGAAATTAAAATTAGTGAGAGAAAGTGAATAAGAGTATTTCAATAAGTTATTGTATCAATTATATAACTCAACATTGTCTTTTAAGGAGTTTCTGGCAATGTTTTAAGATATTTCAAAACATTCTAATTTTTTTGTTGGATGCATATGAAATGATTTCTGAAACTGTGTATCCGTCTAAACCTTAGCTCTCTCTTTAGAGAAAGCAGCAGTCTCTTGTTTTCTGGAATTATACGGCAAAACCTTGACAAACACCAACGTTATCATTACATGGCTTCCATATTATTTGTATTCACATCTGACTTCTTGTTTTGCTTAGAAATTTGATAGTTCTTATTTTCTCACCCAAACATTCCATACTTTCAGTTTTCATCAAGTAAATATCAATATTTACTTATATATGTTTAATGTTTAAATAAAAATAACACTATATTGCAAGTGCTATATTCTCTGCTATATTCTCTGCTAATTATTTCTAATCACAGGAATGAACAAGATTAATTTGATAAGATCATGATGCAAACAGTTTTACTGTGTGGCCGCTGACAGTTGAGGAGGGAAGTAAAAGCATGAGAAACTCATCTCTTCTTTCTGATTCTTGAAATTGCCAAACCAGTTTGCCTTACTTTTCTCAACCCTCTAATCCTTATTCTATTAAATATTTTATAATGCAAATAAATAATGCAGAAAGATAATAACTAACTCTTAAATACAGGAAGTCAAGTTGGCCATACAAGAGTTCTTTTGAAATATAAAATGCAATTGCCTTCAGTAAGTGACTAAAACTGGTTCTGACGCCTGCCTTTGTCTTCTACAACGTGTCTTTAACCATTAATTTCCACTGATCACATTCCATTAGTCTAGGTGTGAAACACCAGCAAGCAAATATTGCTGCGTAGACTCACATTATTTCAGTCTGCAGCTGCTTGCTTTCTTTGTGTTAAAACATTTAGCTTTGTTAATATGAGCAAAAGCTAAAGTATGAAAGGAAAACAATCTGAATGCCTAACTATACTGAAGGTTATAATTGATCATTCTTTCACAGGATATTTATTGGATGCTAATTCCATTCAAGCCCATGGTGCTCAATAAATGCTTGTTGGATGAATGCATGTCTATAGCTGTGAGTGTTTCAGCTCTATATTTCTTAGTTTCTTGCTTCCTCCAGTGTTGGCCAGCTGTTAAACAATTGTTTGTAGCTGAGTATTTTATTTGGAGGATAAAATTATCCATTTTAAAACAGGGGAAGGAATAGGGAACCTGCTATCTATTAATTTGATTCATCTGGCAAGCCATTCCCATGCTAGTTAATTGACCATTGAACATTAGAAAAAAAATGCAAAAGCAAAGTATTTGCACTTGGCCCCTTCTAACCTGCATCCTCTCCAAATGGTTTCCCTATCAAGGCTTTGGCTAAACGTTAAAACTTCTGTGGGTAGGTTTATGTACCATTTTATTACAGAGCCTGACGTGAGCCTCCTGAACTGATATGTAATCCTATCGAGGCAGAAGGATGCAAAGAAAGAACTCCTTTGTAAAACACAGCATGAAACAGACCTCACCATCGGCTTTTAGCTCTGATAATATGTTGTGCATAATGTTTCCATCAAGTTCTTGTGCCAGATTGGGTCCTTAGACCTCACAGTAATTTTTGGAATAATTTTTACCACGCGTGTACGAAATGATAGCCTTTAAAAAAATCACTGTTAAGTCTCGGGGTCCCCACTGTGGCCAGTGGCAGCTGACAAAGGGGAATGGAGGAAAAGCAAGTAATGCAAATACAAAGCCATTTGCATGGCTCAGTCCACCTGAAGGAAGCTAAAGGTCACACAGCTTTATTGTCTAAAGTTACTTGCCTTGCAAACTGTAGATTTCTCCCACGCTGTTCTGACGAGTGATGTGATGCCAGTACGCACTACGAGGAAGAGATATTGATTTGGATAATGTCATCGGTTCAGTCAAGCTTGTCTGCAGCTACAAGAAAAATAAAATGCACATGAGACTGTATTTAAAATATTAAACGCGCAAGACTTACCTGGAAAGACAAAAAATAAAAAAAAAAATAGGATGTTCAACTGAAAGCGGCTCTTTTATTTTTGTTTTAATTTATTGTAGAGTTGCGGGATACAAGTGAAGATTTGCAACATAAGTAGGTGTCGTGCAGGTAGAGTCTGGGCTCCTAGCTGGTTCCCTCTCCCTTGTTAGTGGACCAGGCACCCGTTGTGTTCCCACATATCCCCTCCCACTTCTCCCTGCTTCCCCTAACCTTGGCCCACACCTGCAGATCCCACCCTTGTGCCAATGTGACTAGTGTTTTCAATGCAGCGGGTTAAACGTGGATGACACATGATAAAATCTGCTATAGATACCGGCATAATCCCCTAAGCATAACTTTTAAAAATAAAATTATAACTCAAATACATGAAATGAATGCTTGTAAACAATTTCTTCTAACTCATTCATTAAGAAGGGTACATTAAGATGGTGCAGCTGATTCTAAGGAGACTGCCAATGGTTTATAAACAATAAAGAATGCTGGCAGATATTCAGGGCAATAATCAATCGTACTCCACCAGACAAATGTAGTTGTGTTTCTATGGGCAAAAATTACTTGCCTTGCGCTCAGGTTTTGACAACTTACATAAATGTAAAACAATGAAAACAATGGAGTTGCAAACTTCTTCAGAAACAGATACCCTCAAACAGATATTCCCAAAAGGCATCAAACAGAATACTCAATACTCTTTTTAACCCATTTTGGGCTTAAAAATTTTCTTGACATCTACTCCCACCCTTACACAACGGCTGTTTTCTCAAAAGATATTTTTCCTTGTTCCTGTGATAGGAACTTTTGCATATTTAAAAAGTGTTTTCTTTGAGAAGCTCTGTGATAAAATCATGGCATATTTTCTCATTTGAAACGTATAGTCAAGGTTAGCTGAGGACATCCATATGATATTACATCCCTTTCTTAGGTGCATGATTAATTCAAAGAAAAAAATAGCTTACATTGCTTCTTTAAGAAATAGATTTATCTTTATTGATGTACAACAGGCTTCAAGAAACGTAGAGATGGTTTTATTTAGAATTAGTGCATACTTCTCTGGCACAACCTGAATACACATTTACTTTTTGACAGTGGACAATCCTCTAATTAATAAAGTCTCACATTTCTCCCTCACTTAATGCCTGACTCTTTACAAAAATCAGGAGTTGTAAAGGTTGTGTCTGTCAAATCTAGCCTTAAGATGCCTTTTTGCTCACCGTGGTGTGAACTTCCTCACTGTGTACTAGCTATACTCACCTATACTTCAATATGCCACATAATTCCTCATCCAGCTTAGGATCTGACTCTTACTACCCTTCATATAAGAGGCTGTCAAAAAAGTATCTAATATAATACAGGTCCTTTAAATCCACATCCAACAAAAAGGATTTTACAATTTAATAGAAAGTATAGTCAAAGAGCTTCAATATGTTTATTTGATTTTGCTTTCTTAGAAGTGAGGCATTTCTAGAACGACTAATGTCTTGTCACAACAATGCCATTCTCAGTCTACTTTAAAAGTTTGGCACTGTTTAAGGTTTTTTTTTTTCCCCTAGGAGAGTGTCCCAAATAGTAATATTGCAAGCAATCATTATATATTCAAATTTGGTCTACTTCAAAGTTTTTCTTCATATTAAAAAAATGGGTGCATTATCCACATCCTGCAGTTGGTGTATGTGTGGGGTGGGGTGGGGTGGGATGCAAGGGAGAAGACACATTTCTGGGTTATCACAAAGCAATGCTTCCAGAATCTTTGAGATGTTTGTTAACAATGCACATTTCCAGTTTTACCTCAGACCTACCAGTTGGAGAATTAATGTGGGTAGAGCTATGTATATTGAGACCACACTTAGTATTCTCATAAGGACTGAAGCCCTCACTACAGTAAGGGAATAGAGGTGAGGCTCATTTTATGAAAGTGCTATTGGGAGAAAAGAAAGGACTTTCACCTTTAAAACCAATTTCCCATATGAGACATAAACTTAATTAAATACATAAATCTTCAATTCATGTCAGCAATGTCCATTAATAACATCAATTAATCCATAAATTTAATCTTATATTAATCACAGTTCTGTCTACTGTCTACTCTTTATTCTTTTTTCTAATATAATTTGTTTATTACTTAGCCTACAGTAGATCATCAGTGGTAGATTAATCCTTCCAAGAAGTGATGAAAGTGCTTTTCCTTCTATTTTTTAATTCTGGAAGACATTTTTCTTCCCAAATGATCAATCATAAGCATCACGGAAACAGAGCAAACATATTTTGTTTTCTGGAAACAAACAACCACTGAATGCCCCTGGAGAACTATTCTTCCAATACAATTTCCGTCTGAATTGCCCTGTATTGTTTTTCACCTCATGTCTCTGTAGTTCTCACTCTTCATTTTCAAGTTCTGGTAAGCTTTAAACCATATTCTGTTTCTTCATTTGCTCCTTTGGTTTCTCTTATTCTAATTCTCTATTTAATTGGTGAAAAATGAAAAATTTGTGTTAAAAATCTTGATGATGGGTTTTCACGAGATCTTTGCCAAAGATACAGATAGTGTCCACTATATTCCAGATGTCTAAATGTTCTCCTAGACATCAGAGTCTGTTCATAATTCATAACTATGTCTTGAGTATGGCTATGGACTGACTTGTGGTACCCCAAAATTTATATGTTGAAATGTTGTCCTTCAGTGTGACCGTATTTGAAGAAAAGTCCTTTAAGGAGGTTATTTAAGGTTAAAAGAGGACATGATTAAATAGGACTGGTGATTTAACAAAAGTAAGAACACCAGGGATGAAGGTGCACAGAGAAAAGGCCATGTAAGGACCCAGCAAGAAGATATTCATCTGCAAGCCAAAAAGAGAGTCCTCAGGGGAAAACAACCCTGCTGTCATCTTCATGTTATGTTTCCAGCCTCCAGAACTATGAGAAAATTAATTTCTGTTGTTTAAGCCACCTAGTCTGTGATATTTTCCCATGGCAGCCTGAGCAAACGAATACAAGTACTCTGTACCATGGGCAATCTACAGATGATGTAGAATCTATCTGATTTAACCAGCAATTTTCAATTGTGTTATGAACTTTAAGCATTGTATTGTAAATTGGCCTGCTTGATGTGAACAATGATTAAGACCAGGTGACAATGTTTCAAGCTCTTTCATTAGAGAATTTTGATAGTTCTGATTTTAAACTCCTGATAAAACTTCTCTTGATGGGAGGATTCAACAAGAGGGCACATATCCTTATTATTTCAACTAAAATTCATCTTGAACTATTTTCATATCATAATGATTCTTCAATTAAAAACATTAAGAAAAAACAGAGCTTAAAATGCTATTATAATTTCTTAATTTTGAAAGAGCAATGCATCAGTTTGACTGTGAGGATTTTGGGGGATAATTAAAGTGTGTATATCAAAATACATAAGGCAATTTATGTTTATTACAAATAAATATCTATGGGCAACCTCTTTGGATCCCCTCCCACTGTGGGAGCTTTTCTGTCCTCTCAATAAATTCTGCTTTCTCACTTTCCGGCTTCAAAAAAAAAAAATCTATGTTTATATATACAAAAGAGAAAATTATATTCTGAGAGCATTTCTAACCAAGTATTGTAGTTAAGAAATTAAACAAGATGGCTATGTCTTTGAAGTACTTTCATTCCTTTTCTGTGAGGATCTGCTGTGTCAATTCGTTGACTGGTCTTAGTCAGAGAAAAATTTCTCATGAAACTACAAAATTCTGCAACCCTTTGTGCCATAACTCCTTCAGTATTTAGGTATGGACTCTTTTCCGTAGGCATCACTTATCTGCTTCTCCTTTTGCATAGGGTCAGGATGTGGAAAGGATGCTTCATTGTACATGCAGAAATCAGCCAGATTAGGAAGCAGTTAATTCAGTTCAAGAACTTTTGGCCATTTCTGGCTTTAAATGTTTTTTGGTTCCATTCTTTTGAAACAGCAGTCATTTCTCTGGTTTATAAGCAATGAATCAGAAGTCACTTATTTAGTATCTGCAAAGAGTAGAGATCACAGCTCAACCAAGTCTGGAGAATAGTGAAAACATGTGCATTCTATTTGAGGGCTGCCACCAACACATCTCACAAAGCCCACAGCCTAGGAGAATTATTTAGGGCCAATGTGTGTCATACGGAGATTAAGTTAATACCTATGTCTGAGTATCACACAGATAAGTGTCATGCTTTTCTCAAAGGAACCCTACCCCCTAAAAAATACCCTTATATTTTTAGAGGCTCTCATAAAAGATAGAAAAATAAGTGAGCTATTTCTGCTCTTTCCCATTTAAAACATAAATAATACATTTGTTTTTTATTTGCAAACATTTGAGACTTATAGATAGTATCAAAGCGAGATCCCAACCCTCACTCCTTGCCTCCCCTAAACTTTGGAAGACTCTTTTGAACACATTTGGTTGAAAAGGTGGTTTTTAGGAAACAATTCTTCCTGGGATCACTCTGGACTTCTTGTGACAACTTTTATTCCCTAATATCTTTTCAAGTAAGTTTGTATAGCTAACAGTCTCAGAAGATAAAGTGTCTTCCTCTAGGGCAGAGGACAGATTTGTTTCCTGCCAGGGCAATACAGATCATGTATTCTTCCAAAGCCAAGGTTGGGCAGGTTTGCTAGTAGTCACCTTCTAAGACTGGGAATTCCTAACTCTGGTATCTCAGGTATGGCAATATACAACATCCACCTGGACTGTTTCACCCAGCCCCATGAGACTTGGTAACCAGGGAAACTTATGGGAACATAAAACCCATGATGTTTGTTGACCTAGGTGTTTTCTGCCAGCATCCATGAAACTGTAGCAGGCAAGGGAGGTAGGAGGTGGCATCTTTCCTGATTTTGAAGAGCAAAAGTTGTCTCTGTTCTTCCTAAACCTTGAATCTAAATTATTTTATTAAATCTCCTTTA